CCTCCGCAGCCCTCCCACCTCCCTTCCCTGGGCTCGAATTCTGGGTCCTGTCCCTCCCAAGCCGAGGTCAGAAGTCCGCCACTGGCCCATCAATAATTATCCCGGGTTTCCTCCCAGGAGGGCCTTTCAGCCAGGGCTCCTGCTGCTTACCACCCAGACGGTGGAGAGCCTGGAAGGACACAATTTACATTCACCCTGGCCAACTGGGTCCGTCCACTGTTCCAGAGTGTATCTATGGGGGACTTGGGCGGCTGAGACCATTTCGCTCCCTGGGGAATATTGCTAGCAGTCAGAGCTGCAGGAGGGGCTGACTGCTCTACCCAAAAAAGAAATAATAAGCAGGACCACTGCTGTAGGAGCAAGAGGTCTCTGAGACCCTTTTCCACGTAATGGGGATGGGGTGCGGTGTCTGAGAAGGCAGCCTGAGTCACCCACTCTCCTCTCTTCTGGGTACATCTCCGGAGCTGGCCCACGGTTTCCCTGGCAACCCTCCAAGGGCCAGCACCAAAGCAAGGCATGTCAGATCTCCAGAGCCCCAGCTGCAGGGACAGAAGAAGGAGAAGGACCCCACACATAGACACAGAGATCCCTTCCCTACAGTCAGAAAATCTACATGTCCAGGGATGACCAAGATCGGCAAGGCCTCAAGTTCTCCCATAATCCTCCTTTGGCAGCTCTTCCCAGCAGCCTCCTCTTCACCCCCAGAATAACACCAGCCACAAAGATCCTTGTGTCTGCAGCTGATCACAAAGTCCTTCTCCCTGACCCAGGCTCCTGCTTCTATCCCACACTCTGGGCCAACACCTGGCACAGAGTAGGTACAGGGAGCTTGGAGGCTGGAGCAGGAGGACAGGCCTGAGCAGGAAGCTGGACAGAAGCACCAGCCCTGAACTCTCTGGCAACCCCTCTGACAGTCACTGTCCATGATGTTTTGACACCAGGGCACACCACATTTCTCTTTCTTACCTGCACACATTCTGTTCCCTCTGCCTGGAATGTCCTCCTGCCCTCTTGATGTCTGCCCTTTGGTGACACTTGTTCCAGGCAGCACAAACCTCGCCCTTCCTGTTCCCCACCACACGTTCATGCCTCTATTATGGCACCTCTGGTGTTAAAGGACAATTTGTTTATGCGTTTCTCTACCCGCAAACGGCAGACACAGTATCCCATTCCCCTTAAAACCCCCACCCAGTGCCCAGCCGAGAGCAGCCATCCACTAAATATTTGAGGACCAAACTCTTTGCACTAGGAAAAGCAATGGAAAACCAGGAGGACTGTGTAGTAGTTAATAGCACAGACTTTAAAACCAGGCTCACTGTCAACTCCTTCACCATGTGACCTTAAGTTTTCTGCCTCAATTTCCTCACTGTAACATGGTTATAGTCATAGGACCTACCTTGTTGCATTCTGGTGAGAAATGAGTTAATACATATGAAGTGCTTCCAATGCTGTAAGGCACTACAGAGATGTTAACTATTATAACTGATTTTAGCAGCAGCTAACATTTGCATCCCTCTTCCTAGGACTGGTCCGTCCAGCTGCCTCAGCTGCCGTGCCTCAGGGTGCTAGTTTGAATGCTGTGGAGGGTGGGCAGGGAAGGTTCTTTATTGCTCCTCTTCTAGCACATCTCTGACTGACCACTAGGTACCAAGCTAGAGCTGGCTGGCTGTGTACACAGACACGAAGAACAGAATGTTCTGGGTTGCTCCCTCAGCAAAACAAGAATGTTGTCAACTTGAGACAGGAAGAAAGGTCCAATACCTACCTCTAACTACTTGCCAATTCAGATGAGGTGAGACCCTCTTCCCCTGGGCCTCGGGGATATAATGCCCTACGTTGAGGGGACACCAGACAGAGACATAACACATAAGGAGTCCTAGAAAGAAAGAAATTGAACAGGAAGCTAGGATCCAGAAAGACACAGCAGAGAGCCCACACAGAAAGGTCCTGGAGGCATACCTGCACATGCAGAAATGTCCACAGGAGAGCGTTGATGTCATCTCCTCGCCCACGCTAGCCTGATCCAGGAGAGAAAGAGGCTTGAGGGAGAGCCTGGAAGTCTGGTGGGAAGCCTTGTCTATAACTCTGATTTATTCTTTTTTAACACTGTCTTTTAATATATTTTTTTATTGATTTCAGAGAGGAAAGGAGAGGGAGAGAAAGATAGAAACATCTGAGAGAGAATCATTGACTGGCTGTCTCCTGCACGCCCCCCACTGAGGACTAAGCCAGGAACCCGGGCATGTGCCCTTGGCCAGAATCGAACCCGGGACCCTTCAGTCCACAGGCCGACGTTCTATCCACTGAGCCAAACCACCTAGGGCAGTGGTCGGCAAACTCATTAGTCAACAGAGCCAAATATCAACAGTACAACGATTGACATTTCTTTTGAGAGCCACATTTTTTTAAACTTAAACGATATAGGTAGGTACATTGTTATTAACTTAATTAGGGTACTCCTAAGGCTTAGGAAGAGCCACACTCAAGGGGCCAAAGAGCCGCATGTGGCTCGCGAGCCGCAGTTTGCCGACCACAGACCTAGGGAACTCTGATTTATTCTTAACCAGGCGTTGACTCCCGCCCTTGTTTTCATGGACCATCATGTGGCTGCCACAGAGAACAGATGCCACACTTCACATTCTCCCCCAGCCCTGCCTGCCCACAGGGAGAGCAGGAAGCCATTTTCTGGAAATGTAACTGAAACCACAACCATGATCCTCTCTAGCCAGAGACCCACACTCATCTAGCTCCCCTCTCCAGACTCTCTGGACCCCTGGAATCAGGTGGGCGCTGGGGGACCACTGGCCACACAGTAGCCAAGGAAGGACACCTAGGAACTTCTCTTGTTTCTTCCCTATTAAATTAGCACACGCCCCAGGAGCTACAGGAGAAGGCATCGGATACTGAACGGATCGGGGAGGCAGAGACCCCGGATCTCTGGGGCCTCAGACTGGAGGTTTGTCGCCACCAGTGGTTCAGCAGGTGTTCCACTGGTGCCTGGGCATATTGCTACCGGGAGTTTGGGTGGTGAAAATAGCTGAATTTTACAGTTAGATCTGGTTCCAAACCCCAGCTCTGCCAACTTACCAGCTGTGTGACCTCAGTCAGAGCATTTCACTCCTCTGAGCGCCTCAGTTTCCCTCGTGTGTAAGTCATAGGCGCTAAAGTCTAGATATATTTGTAAATGCCTAAAATCTTTCTGGGTGTACATGCCAGACCCTAGTACCTGTGGTTGCCCCTGTAGAGGGGGGCCTGGGGGACAGGAAAAGAGACTAACTTTTCACCATATATCCTTTTACACTTGAATTTTGTACCATATGCTGTACTATCTATTAAAACATTAGGAAAAATGAACTTTTTTTTTTTTTAAAGTAGAGTGATTAGGAAAGTATCTAAGCATCATGTATGGCTTGCAGAAGGTACTTGATAAAGGAACCTTTTTTTTTTTCTTTCTTTCTAACCTCAGCCCAACCCCAGCCAGTTTGCAGGGCCAGGAGGGAGTGGACATGAGGGTGGAGTTGGGGGATGGGATGTGAGTGACAGATGTGCAGGTCCTTGCCACCTGGAGATTCTCACACGCTGCTCTCCCTCTCGTCCCTGAATGCTTCACCTCTCTGGGCTCCCTTCCAGCCAGAGCTAAGGAGGTGGGTCTCTGGAAAGCCCCAGCCACCCCCCACCTCCTGGGACAGGGTCACTGTGCCCTCTCCTCCTAGAGTCCTGGGGCGATGCTGCATTTTGCAGGGAAGGCAGGGTTGACACAGAGGAGGCAGCAGAGTATAGTATCACCCCAGCCACTATCTTGCTGGCTTGCCTGGCGGTTTAAGAACTCAAAAGTCAGCTGAGCACCAGGCAAAGATGAGGCTGCTGTTGCTGCTGCCATGGCCAGAAAGCAGGTCAGTGGGACTAGAGCAGGCAGAGGTCAGGGCGGCAGAGGAGAGAACCTTCTGGGTGCTGTGGATCAGGGTATATGAGGGGGAGACTGAGGCCTACACTAGCTCAAGGGAATCTCTGAGCTGTCAGAGCTTGAGGTAGCCCTGTGCTGTTTTAGGGATCTTCATTAATCCAACACATATTTATGAAACCACTATTCTGCATCAAGCAATAGGACACCGCCCTTTAGGCTACCAGTTAGAGCCGTACAAAGAGACCTGCAATACAGGTAGCATTGAGAGGCTACAGGAATGCAGGGGAGAAAAATGCCTAGCTCTACCGGCCAAGGTCTCTGAGCACCTACTACGTGCTAGGCACTGGAGTGAGTCGGCACAGCAGACCCAGGACTGGATTGGTCTTGCTTGTCCTCCTTTTATAAAGGAGCCTGCTGAGCTCAGAGAGGCGGACGGACGTATGTGCCCGGAGTCACACATCAGAGCCAGGATTTGCACCAGAGCCTTTGTGTTTTTCTCTATGCCGCACTGACCCTATGAAAGGTAAGGAGGTGGTGACCAGGTGGCCGAGGGAGGAATGGCATTCCAGGTAGGTGGAATGGAGGGGGCAAAGGTTTGGAGTTGAGAGACGCCAGTGCATTGGGGGACCTGCATGGCTGAAGCCCAGAGTGACGGGAAGGCCCATGCTTGAGGGTGATCACAGCAGCAAATGAAGATGAGGGCAGTAGCCAGTGAGGAGGGGATGGGACATTGGCCCGTTCTTCATGTAGCCTTCACATTCCCCACTTGCTCCTGGGGCTGGGGAGCCTATTTTTGAGGCTTGGAGAGGGCAGGGAAGACGTGGGTGGGTTTGTGCAGTAAGAAACTAGGGAACGATGAAAAACAGAGATGGGGGAAAAAGGAATCCCCTCCAGGCATAACAAAGGAAAGTGGCAAAGTGGTGGGGGATGGCAGGGAAGGAGGCACAACGCTCTCCCACACAAACCCCAGAGGGCTTGAGGTCGGATACTGGGCTGGCGGAGCCACAAAAGCTTTCCTGTTAGGCTGGAAGGAGGAGAAACTAGCTCAGCAGGAAGAGGGGACTGGTAGTCATTGTGCATAAGGATGGGAGTAAGATCAGACGCAAGCCTACTCAGGACAGCGACCAGTCCCGCTCAGCTGCCCAGCTCTGTGCCCATGACCCACCGCTCCTCTCTCACCTGCTGAGGTGGGCCCCTCCCTGTCCTCCTGACGGGTCAGATGCTGCACACTGCCCCCCACCCCACCCCAGGTCCTGCCAGCATCTCTCCCAAGGCAGGTGGTCAGGGCTGCTGGGCCAAGGAAGGAGCATTTCCCCTCCCACCCACTCTGTCAGTCCCATACCCCTCCTCTCACTCTGTTCCCAGAAACAGAGGACAGTCGCTACGCCTCGGGGCAGGATGGCCTTGTGTTCCCTTGGTGACTTCACTGTAAACTGACTTCCATGAAGAGGGTAGAGGAAAGGGGACGGGGGTAGGAAGGGAGAACAGGCTTCACCCAGGACCCAGCAGCTCCTTCCCCTGCCCCAAATTCACACAAAATTCCTCACCATGTGCACGCACACACCCGCCCTTGGTCCTGCCCTGTCTTAATGAGCCAGAATGGGGGCAGGTTTCTACAGGGAGGTGCCAGGGTGAGGAGACTAGGAGAGAGGCAGGGACATTGGTTTGGGGGGTATCAGTATACGCTGAGGATGGGCCTGTGGCCGCCTTCCAGTCACCTTGGGGGTGGGAGCTAGAGTGGAGGGAATGCCGGGGAGGCAAAGTGGGGGTGAAACAGGACATTTAGGAGCCCAAGGGCTTCAGTTGGGGGGTATCAGTATACGCTGAGGATGGGCCTGTGGCTGCCTTCCAGTCACCTTGGGGGTGGGAGCTGGAGTGCAGGGGAACAATGCCGGGGAGGCAAAGTGGGGGTGAAACAGGACGTTTAGGAGCCCAAGGGCTTCAGCTCGCCCCTCTCTGCTGAACACAGAGATCCTCCCTGGACCACCTCCAGCTTGCTTGGGAAGGCTCTTCACCTCCACCCCACCTCCCCTCTGGCTCTTGCACAACAGGAACTCTCCTTGAAGAAGGGACTTGCAGGAGAGGAAACAAAGGCATCTCTGTACCATGCCCTCCGCCCCCTCCCAGGATGGTTAGGTCAAGGTGACCTCTATCTGTTCTTCCCAGGGTAGGGGCATCAGCAGGGCCTTCTCTGCTAACCTGGTCTCCAAGGACAGGGCAGCAATGGGTCCTGGGAAAATTCTTTCCTTCCTTCATAAACTCACGCCAACATAGTCATCTGCCTCATTCCACAGAACAGGGGCCCAGACTGACGTGGAGATGGGCATGCCACATGAAGCGCCACGGAACGATGATGGGCTAGCCCAGTCACAGGGGACAGCTTCACTCTGTGGGTGTGTGCTGGGGTTGGGGGAAGTCAAGAAAGGCTCTACCGTCGAGACCCTTCCCACAGGGCCAGGCAACTTGGATCCTGGAGCCAGCTCTGCATTCCCTGGCCAGACGGCTGTGGACAGGCCTCTCCTGAACTACTCAAAGGGGATGATCCTGGCTGTGCCTACCTCCAAGGTTATTGCAAGGATGAGTTGAGTTGAAGTGTGCAAACATGTTTGCACACAACTGTACCGTGATTCATTCCAGGATGTGTGCATACTGTGCTAACTACAGACGAGGCCAGGAATCATTATTATTCCTAATAAAATATGGTCAGTCTTCTTTGAAGGAACGTATTCCCGTAAGATGTTTCTTTAATTATATTATTTTTATATGTAACATATATTTTAATCCCCCCTCACTCCCCCATGTAATGGTGTGACTTGGAATTGGGGATGAGGGGCAGTTAGGGGAGGCCATCCTGGGACCCCAGCTCAGTCCGCACCCTAGGCAGTCTCTGATCTTCCTGAACCCCCTCCCCTAGGCCTCAGTTTTTCTCCTCTATAGTCTGGGCCTCTAAAACCACCAGGGTGCTTTGTGGTAAGAAATAGCAGAGACCAAACCAGGGGACTGAAAGCAAAAAGAAACCCCAAATTTGACATTTCTGGGTGTTATCCGGAGCCATGACCACAGTCACCTCTGCCCCCAACCCAACTCTGACACCCTTCCCTCTTCCACTCCCTTGGGTGGCCTTTGCCCATCCTGGGAAAGCTCCAAAGCTCCTCCCCTTCCCACTGCATCTCTAAGGGAGAACAGAGGCACAAAGAAATGAGAGAAACCCAGACAGAGTCACCCGGGGAACGAGCGAGACCTAGAGAGAGAGAATCAAAAGGAGAAGAATGGAAAAGCAGAGCCTCACAGTCTGGGAGAGCCAGAATGCACCACGGGACACGGAGTGGGGAGGGGCACAGGAGGGCTCTGAGGGCACTGGGCATGTCCTTTCAGGCTAGCCCCTCCAGTTTTGTTCACTGGCACCTCAATGCTACCTTTTTAGGACCCAGGACTGCCCAACCCCTAACCAAGCCCAGCCCAGCCCAGCCAGATGTTCTGTGGGTGGGTGGGGCTGCCAGCTAGAGCAGCAGTCCCCTGTAGGCCCTGGGGAGGAGGCTGGAGAGGTGGCTGCCTGGAAGTGGGCAGGCAGGGCTCCCACTCTGGAGCCAGCACCCCCATACCATCCTCTCCAGATGCCCAGATGTGGGTACATTGCAACGGTGGTCCTCTGCCCCCGCCCCCCAGATATGACTCAGAGGCCTTGGAAATCCAGGAGTCTGCTCCCACCCACTGACTTGCCCACCTGCTCAGAGTGAGAGCCTGGAGGGCATAGGTGCCAAGTGGGGCCCACCCTCCCTGTGGCAACGGGTTTGGATCTGCCACTGACAGGCTGCGTGACACTGGCCAAGTCACTTCCCCTCTCCAGCCTCTGTTTCCCCATTTGTCAAATCATCTTTACGGTTGTTTCCAGCTCTGGCATTTGACTCTCATGGCAGGTGCTGGCCCCCCCCCCCCCCCCCCCCCCCCCCCCCAGCTCTGTGCCTCTGAGCCTCCTCTGCCAAAGGCACTGCACAGAGTCCGGGAAGAAGGGAGGGGGAGGCCCATGCTTCCTCCTCCCCAGGGCTCCCCGGGTGGAGCATCTAAAGAGCAAGGTTCCCTCAGTCCTCTGTGAACCCCCTTACAGTTTTCAATTCCTTTCCTCATGGGCCTGCCAACTAAGACTGCGACCACACATGGAAGTGTGTGTGTGGGTCCCGGACATTCCAGCTTCTGCAGCCTTTAACTTGGGGTTTTCTCTGAAGTAAAACGAATGAGAGCGGGGAGGTGGGGAGGAGCACGAAGGTGGGAAAGTGGAAGGGGGAAGAGAATGGAGATAGAAGGGCAGGCCTACCAAGGCCCGAGGGAGGGGTGGTGGGAGAGAATGATCCCCCCCACCCCCAGAAGTCTTGGCTCGGCTGGGCCCTGAGAGGGCAGCCAGCCTGGCCCCTACCTTGGTGCTGCCAATACCAGCTGCCAGGCAGAAGGAGGCCTAGAGGAGAGGGAAACTGGGCAAAGGGGATGGAAGGCTTCCAGGCCAGCCTTGCCCAACGCGTCAGGCCCCTTAGGGGGCTCTCAGGGAGGGGCTGTGACCCAGGCAAGGCCTAGGAAGGGTGTTCCCTGCTCTGGCAAGGCCTATGGGCAGTCCTGAGCTTTGAGGATTCAAGAGGGCCCCCTCTGGACCTTTCTGAAGGTAGGACCAGCCTCGGATTGGACTGGGCCCGGGTGAGGGGAGGGGCAGGGGCATTTATGGCCCATAGCTTGCCAACTAGGCCATGTGCCCACTGTGTCTGGCTGGGCAAGCCCCTTCCCCTCTCTGGGCTTCCATTTCTAGTCTGCACCATCTGTTTGGGGGGGGGGGGGGGTCCAAACATGACTGCCAAGGTTCTTTTTCAACTGCAGACGGCGAGAGCGCGGCAGTGGGAGTAGTGGAAGGAGGGGAGGTGGGGCGGCGTGAGCTGGCTTCTCTGGAATCCCCAGTCTTTCCCCTCCCCAGGGCTTTGCCTCTGAAGTCCCCAGCCCACATGAACACGCGCGCACACATTTACATGTTTCATCTAGAGACTGGAAAGATCGCCCGTGCCAGCGCTGCCAGGCCTCTCCCGCCAGTCCAACCCTTCCTTCCTCCCTTTTCACGGATGAGGAAACTGAGGCCCGGTCCGGGCTTTCCAGAGCCCGGGATTTCCCAGGCCCTCCCGCCCCCTCGC